ATATATATATATATATATATATATATACATATATATATATAACAATATAATAAGAAATATAACTATACAACAAATAAAATCAAACTACACAATCCACCGGCACCTCAAGTCACTGATGCTGACGAAACAGCCCGTGTCCGAGCGCCGTGCTGCTCTGGCCTCGAAACCCGTCATGACGACCGCGAGGACATCCGCAGGCAAATCCGAGGGGCAGAGCCAAGCGGGTTGTATAAATGCATACGGCCAATCACCGCTGATGAGAAAGACGGCCCGAGTTCAACTCCCGAGGTCAACTGAAACGTCATGAACAGCTTCTTTGCGCACAATGGAAGTCAAACAGCGACTGCTGTGATGACTGCCAGAGCTGAAACAACTGCATCAGAGCCGCCATCACTTCTACCCCGAGTGTGTTCTGAACAATGTAGAGTTCAGCCAGTGGCGCTCGGAAACCTGTATTCTGTCGTTCTTAGCATGTGTAATTCGAATTATTGCGGTGATGACAGTCTCCCTCCGTACGTCATAAAACGTTGTTGTTGCGTACTCTGTCACATCATTCTCGCGACCGTGAACACCGGCCTGTGCACCGGCACAGTTCCTACTTAGAAAATGTTTTGAAAACGTCTTAATTTAAATATATTTACTGGTCAAAAGGGTCTCTATTTCAGCCTTCCAACTTAAGACTGATCCCGATTGTACCTGGCATTGGTACAGTAGTTGGACGAGTCGTTGACAAGCAACTGTATAACCTTAACCCGCCACCTCTTCGCCCAGTCACGACACACATTTCGTAAAGACCACTCAACCGAAACAGCCTCGGCGACCCTAAATGATATTGTACAATGTGTTATGGATAGGGGCAAAACCATACTCCTCGTGCTATTGGATTTGTCCAAATGGTTTGATCTGGTGAATGGTGATACGCCTTTTGCAAGGCTATTTCTTCATGGCGTTGACCGTCACTGGCTTCGACTATTTTCGCAACGACAGGCAGAAAGTAAAATTCACCCGCGAGCACCTCGAACCCTCACAATTACGACCAATTGAAAATCCACAGGGGTGTATGGCGGTAACACCCTCGGCCCGTTGTTATACAACTTTTTTCTTCAAATTAGATCAGCCTCCGTGTCGAAGGCGGCGTCCGCGTTGTCCAATAGGCGGACGACACCCAAGCCATTTTAGCTGATAGAAAGCTAGAACTGACTGAATTACAGCGAAAATGGAACGGGCAGTATCCATACTGTACAATGGTTTGGGCAACATGCTGTGAAAATAAATGCCAGCAAAAACCAGTTTATCGTGATCGGCACTCAGCAAATGATGCGGCACGTGCGGCGGGTCTCAATCCACATCGGAGGCAACGAGATTGGGGAGAGCAACACGGCACCTTGGATTGACCTTCGATCAACAGTTCACCTTCTTGGCGCACATTGTCAGCGGAAAAATACGCTGCAACGGGCTCCTTGCGGCTCTGTCTCATATAGGGCATAGTCTCCCCAGTGAACATGTAGGCACCACAGTGGAGTTTGGTCATCTCCATACCTCACTTCCGCATATCTATGTACGGCGGCGCAGACCAGTCAAAAATGAAACGAGTCCAGTGAATTTTAAATTTTTGCGCGTGATCAGTGTGAGGCTGTCGGAAGTCGGACCACATTTCCTTCCTGATAAACCAAAATCCAGCCGTGAATATGAGACGGCTGGCAACACAGGCCTTCTTCGTAAGATCATCACAACGGTACAACCTTCAGCATTGGCAATATACTCGGCGCAACCATGGATACGACAGGAAGACGTGCCCACCAGTCACACATCAGGCCGCCGCCAACCATGGATGCGACAAGAAGACGTGCCCACCAGTCACACATGAGGCCGCCAACAACCATGGACATGACAGGAAGACGTGCCTACCAGTCACACATCAGGCCGCCAACAACGCGTCAAACAAGTGGCAAACGGCAGTTGACTATAGGCTCCCGTCGACTACAGCCTCCTGCCATACTACGTGAGGGCTCTTAACCACTCACGCTTCGCTGCCACGGTTAAGCGAGAGCTTCCACATGCCATCGAGACATGAGCACGCGTTTTAAATGTGGCAGATGTGTGTTTTGTCGAATGAATGAGCGTTTCTATATCCGGAAGTGTTTCAAGACATGACACAGCACAGCAATAGCCAAGCGCGTATTTCATCCGTTTATAGAATGCATGACAGAATGGAATGTTCTGCACCGCGAACACGTACATATAACCATACAAGTGGATCGCCTGCCTCTGGTGACGGCCTTCGTCGCGGTGCAGCGGCGCGAAGCAGGTCGCGCCGTCCTCGGAGGCCCTCTGGCGTACCCAGGCGCTGCGAAGCGCTAAACGACGCATTGGTCGGCTCCGGTGAGCCCGCTCCGCAGCCTCCGAGGCGAGCTGTTCTCACAGGATGAAGGTGAGAGCCAGACGGAGCTGCCCGGCACTGGTGTAACAGTGCTCACCGGAGAGGCGCGCCGCGTGAGACGCGTGTGCGCGTGGCACCTGCGCTCCCACACCTGATCACCGGCGAGGCGCGCTGCGTGAGATGAGTGTGCGCGTGGTACCTGCGCTCCCACATCCGACCACCGGCGAGGCGCGCTGCGTGAGACGCGTGTGCGCGTGGTACCTGCGCTCACACACCTGACCACCGGCGAGGCGCGCTGCGTGAGACGCGTGCGCGCGTGGTATCCGCGCTCCCACATCTGACCACCGGCGAGGCGCGCTGCGTGAGACGCGTGCGCGCGTGGTACCTGCGCTCCCACATCCGACCACCGGCGAGGCGCGCTGCGTGAGACGCGTGTGCGCGTGGTACCTGCGCTCCCACATCCGACCACCGGCGAGACGCGCTACGTGAGACGCGCGTGCGCGTGGACCTGCGCTCCCAGACCTGACCAGCGCGGCGGCCTCTGCGCTGTAAAAACCCAAATGCGAACAGTACTCTCGATAAGATCGAAATGAAATTGGGAATCAAATGCATTTCGGCTGCCTCAAGCTGCAGTCAATTCCATCGGGAAAATGTGAGTCGGGGCCAGAAGAGGATCATCCGTATAGGCTGGAGTCACAGTTGAATCAGCTCAAATGAAAACGTGGCATATCTCCTTATTCTGACAGGTGATGGGGGAAAATGGACCAAATGGACCATATATATATATATATATATATATATATATATATATATATATATATATATATATATATATATATCATATGTCTATGTATATGCTTTAAATTCGTACGAATGGTCATCTCTTGTAATAAGCATCATTTTCAACGAAATATATTCCATCAGAGATCGAAATAGATTACGAAATCAAGCACCCATCTCATTGCGACCGAACCAAAGTCGATTCAAAACTGCGCAGCGTTGCTCACAACCAATGCCAAAGTCAAAGTTAGTCCCCTCAACTATAGGTCAGGGCTGGAATCAATCCCAGAATCGAAACAAACACAAACCTAACAGAAATGCATGTATTTCTATAAGTAACGAAGTGATCACCCCACTCCTTTCCTCGCCTGAAAACGAGGCGCGCCAGAGGCATCAACAACACAAGACATACACTCGCGGCTCATCAAGACACACAGCAGACAGGACCTACCGCCTCGGGGCGAACCTCAGTCGAGCATGCGCGCTGTCCGTGGTCTGTCAGCGGAGGGCGGCGCTGTCCGTGTCTGTCAGTGGCGGGCGGCGCTGTTCCGTGTCTGTCAGCGGAGGTGCGGCGCTGTCCGTGTCTGTCAGCGGCTGGCGGCGCTGTCCGTGTCTGTCAGCGGAGGGCGGCGCTGTCCGTGTCTGTCAGCGGAGGGCCGGCGCTGTCCGTGTCTGTCAGCGGCGGGCGGCGCTGTCCGTGTCTGTCAGCGGAGGGGCGGCTGCTGCCCGTGTCTGTCAGCGGCGGGCGGGCTGTGCCGGTGTCTGTCGGCGGAGGGCGGCGCTGTCCTGTCTGTCAGCGGAGGGCGGCGCTGTCCGTGGCTGTCAGCGGAGGGCGGCGCTGTCCGGTTGTCAGCGGAGGGCGGCGCTGTCCGTGTCTGTCAGCGGCGGGCGGAGCTGTCCGTATCTGTCAGCGGAGGGCGGCGCTGTCCGTGTCTGTCAGCGGAGGGCGGCGCTGTCCGTGTCTGTCAGCGGGGCGCGCGCGCTGTCCGTGTTGTCAGCGGAGGGCGGCGCTGTCCGTGTCTGTCAGCGGGGGCGGCGCTGTCGTGTCTGTCAGCGGAGGGCGGCGCTGTCCGTGTCTGTCAGCGGCGGGCGGAGCTGTCCGTGTCTGTCAGCGGAGGGCGGAGCTGTCCGTGTCTGTCAGCGGACCGGGGGACGCTGTCCGTGTCTGTCAGGAGGGAGGCGGCGCTGTCGTGTCTGTCAGCGGGGGCGGCGCTTCGGTGCGGCGCGCCGCGCCTCAGTCGGCCCGCTCCAGCGTCGCTGCTGCTCCTCGCCCATCTCGAGTCGCATGTCCCAGTCGCTGGTCGGGGGCGGCGGCGTCGCCGCCTCAGTCGGCCCGCTCCAGCGTCAGCTGGCTGCTACTCGCCCATTAGACGTCGATGTGTCCCAGTCGGTCGCGGGGCGGCGGCGTCGCCGCCTCAGTCGGCCACGCTCTAGCGTCACTGCTGCTCCTCGCCCATCTCGAGTTCGCTGTGTCCCCAGTCGGCGGTGGGGCGGGCCGGCGTCGCCGCCTTCAGTCGGCCCGCTCCAGCGTCAGCTGCTGTCTCTCGACTCATCTCGACGTCGCTTGTCCCAGTCGGCGGTGGGGCGGGCCGGCGTCGCCGCCTCAGTCGGCCGCTCCAGCGTCAGCTGCTGCTCCTCGCTCATCTCGACGTCGCTGTCCAGTCGGCGGTCGGGGCGGCGGCGTCGACGCTCCTCAGTCGGCCCGCTCTAGCGTCAGCGGCGCTCCTCGCCCCATCTCGACGTCGCTGTCCAGTCGGCGGTCGGGGCGGCCGGCCGTCGCCGCATCAGTCGGGCCCGCTCCAGCGTCACTGCTGTCCTCGCTCATCTCGACGTGCCGCTGTCACTCGCGCGGTCGGGGCGGCCGGCGTCGCCGGCACGTTGGCGCGGATGACGCGATCCGGTCCAGGCCTGCAGCGGGGGTCGCCGTTTGTTTGTTCAGTCATCAGCTGACATTCATCGCCGCCAGGGAGCCCACGACCCACCGCCACCCGTCCCCGATTATAGCCGCGCAGCCGGCGGCGGACGCCCGGCCCGGTAACGCCATCCAGCCATGCCCTCAGCTGCCAGCCCTCCGGATGGTCCTACGTGGATCGCTCGCGGTCTTAACTAGAAATGCTCAGCGAATTATTGCACCTGTTGCCCGGTGCAATTTTGCACAATCGTTACCTCTGAGACAGATACTGAGTCCTCACTGTCAGTGAGCTCCCAAAACAAATAAAGAATATACACTCCCAAAGGCCCACCGATTTATGACATGGTATCATCAAGGTGCTGATGAAAGTGCAAGTCAGTAGATATGACCAGGGCACGGTCGCCCACGCGCCCCCACTGCCACCGGACGCTTAGCGCACCGTCGGCCAGCACGTCACGGGCAGCTGTCACGAGCGGCACGGGCGGTCTCCAAACATCATCCGCAATGAAAGTACACAGCCCTTATCATAAAATGGCAGGCCGCCGGCGGCTACACGACTTCACGGAGCTCGCCACAGTTTGGTAACGAAGACTACTTGCAACATAATGTGGGACAGGAAATACTGTTTGCACGTTGTTTCCTATCGTACATTTCCTTTGCCTGCCACCATCCCACGCACGTTAAAACTGACAGCAGAAGATCACCGCCCGGTGCCAGCATTTCATTTGGTAGCGACCTCTGCTCGTTGGGACCGCAACTAACGGGCCGACGCCGGCTGGGCGGTCGGCCGGCGCTCCGGGCTCGAGGGCGAAGCGCGGGTGCCCACCTCGGTCGGTCTTGGTTCGCGATCCGGTCAGCGCTTTCCTGCTCTCCTCGTAGTACTGGTTCGGGTGCTGCACGACGCCCTCGAACGGGCGCCGGTGCACGAGCTCCCAGTATTTCTGACAGGCGAGCTGCGGCTGCGAGCGGGCTGCCAGCTCCTGCACCTCCGCCGAGCCTGCGCCACGGCACGGAGCGGGTCAGACGGTGTGGCATCTCCGCCGAGCCTGCGCCACAGCAAGGAGCGGGTCAGACGGTGTGGCACCTCCGCCGAGCCTGCGCCACGGCACGGAGAGGGTCAGGCGGCGCATCTCCACCGAGCCTGCGCCACGGCACGGAGCGGGTCAGGTGGCGCGGCATCTCCACCGAGCCTGCGCCACGGCACGGAGCGGGTCAGGTGGCGCGGCATCTCCACCGAGCCTGCGCCACGGCACGGAGCGGGTCAGGCGGCGCGGCATCTCCGCCGAGCCTGCGCCACGGCACGGAGCGGGTCAGGCGGTGCGGCATCTCCACCGAGCCTGCGCCACGGCACGGAGCGGGCCAGGCGGCGAGGGATCTCTGCCGAGCCTGCGCAGCTACACGCGCACACGAACACCGGCTGTGAGGAGGGGCCACCGACTCGTCAAAACCGGAGACGGCGTGAGAACGAACTGAACACATGAGACGCCACAACATGGAACCACATCCGTTTCTGAAGCACACACTTCTCCTGTATCACCATGTAGATGATGTATGGTGATACCCGGAAGCAATGATACGATAGCGTGACTTGCACAGAAGTGGAAGGACCATGATGCTCCCGTCCCCCTGCTCCTCCCCGACTCTCACGTCGTCGGACGCGCACAGCCACGCCCAGTGACGGGGTGTCGGATGGCGTAGAACATAACCTTAAGCATCCGTGTCGGAGGTGGGCCTCCAGAGCGGCGCGCGCCCTGAGACACCCGCCCCCATGCAGCTCACCCTCCTTGTCGATTCCGTATGCCCTGAGCATCTTGCCCATGTGGTCTTTGTCGTAGTGTTTGAAAGGGCAGCCGGAGTCATTGGAGCCGGCCGCCAGGATCTTGCTGCACGGGTGCGCGCTGTAGGAGGTCCGCTTTCCCTCCTGGCCGTAGTTGTGCCGGATGTTGTACAGATACTGCTTGTGGAACTGCCGAAATAACGGGGGGGGGGGGCTTTACCCAACAGCACCACAACCATCACAGGACTGGAGTAGGACACGAAAAGGAGCCCGCCAGCTGCCCAATCCGCCGATGCCGCGCTGACATACCACGGACGCCCAGCTCTGCAGACCCAGGCAGAGTCGCGATGTCTGGCTACTGCCACATGTTACGCAGGCAAGTCATGATCGACAAGAGCGGGCTGTCAATCTTTCCTGACTGTCCAACTACTTGGCTATGCCGATCACACAACGGTCACATCAGAACCCTGTGGGCCACCTGAAGACCACAGCCCGTGGTGCACATATTACAAAAATCGCGACGTGACAAACCACAATGTGTGGACATTTCGTTCCCGACAGTTTCAGATAAACATGACAACGGCTGAACCCCACATATGACAACCAGGTCAACAAGTCCAGCACAGCATCACACAAGCGTACAGCAGTACGTAAGAAGTGGCATTACCATACTGCATGGTAAAAACACAGGTTCCGTGCCTAGTTCCCCAGAGCCCTGTCACCTTATCCGAGTCCATGATCTTGGTGAACTCCTCGCGCCAGAAGGCGATGGCGTTGTCGAGCGAGAGCCCGATCGCCTTCAGGAAGAGGCCGTACTGCATGCGGCCGCCGTGGAGGAGCTTGTGGTTGGCGCGGAGTCGCTCGTGCAGCTGGCGCATGCAGGGCGGGAACGACTGGCTGGACAGCTGCCGAGATCAGCATCGGTCTCAGTCCGGCAGCCAGGGACGGTCAGGGACGGTCAGGGACGGCCAGGGACAGTCGGGAACGGTCAGGGACGACCAGGGACAGTCGGGAACGGTCAGGGACGGCCAGGGACAGTCGGGAACGCTCAGGGACAGCCAGGGATAGTCGAGAACGCTTAGGGACGGCCAGGGACAGTCGGGGACACTCAGGGACGGCCAGAGATAGTCGAGAACGCTCAGGGACGGCCAGGGACAGTCGGGAACGGTCAGGGATGGTCAGGAACAGTCGGGGACGCTCAGGGAGGTCACAACAGGCGGTGGCACAACAGGTAAGCCGGAGCGTGTCAACTACAGGAGTCAACCAAGTGGGTCCCTCTGGCGCTTCATGAATACGAAAAAGGTGGACCAAACAGCACACATGTCTCGTTCCGACAGCACCACGTCGCCACTGGGATAAACCCGCTTCGCTGAAAGCCTCGCATGAATCGGCCCGGGCGGCAGCCGGGCGGAACGTGCATCCGGCACCGCCGTGAGCAGCTGGAGACACCCAGCGGACGCGACCGACCGGCGGCCGGGAGCTCACACCTCGTCCAGCATGTCGGGCGTGACGGCGTTCTCGTCGGTCTTGGCCGCCGAGTAGTCGCGGCCCGTGTAGCGCTTGTCGAAGTCGTTCAGCATCGTCTTGAGCCGGGCGTCCTCCTCCACCACCGGCAAGAGGCGGCGCGCCATCTGGCGCACGGGCAGCACACTTAGACGTCGCCGCGTCGGCATCCGCGCCCTGTCCCGGGCGGCGCGGCACGACCACGCCAAGGCACGTTGCAACATA